TAGATTTAAAAGTGCTGCATCTGCCCTCTCCACCAACTATAGCAAAGTTTTTAAGTATTGTTTGGAAAGCCAGTCCTGAGAGCAAAAGCACCATTCAAAATTGCAGAGCACAGTGACTGCTTCCTGTATGGGTTTCTCTGCTTGCATACTGCTGGCCCAGTGCAGTTTTCATCTCCCCTTAGGCCTCTGCAGATTGGACTAAGCCAAGCTCAAATGTTTACCTGTTTGGATTCTGTCCTATTTTCCATTCAAATGTCAGGTTTCCTGGCATGGGGAGATAGTATATCAGGAATAGCTTTTCAAACACACAAGCACAAACCTGTAGGCCCTGCATTGGAATTGTAGGCTCTGTACTGTAGTAAACTGGAGACGAAAGCCAAAGTAATTCTTTCCCATCCCGATGCAATCACATCTGCAGGGGTCGCCTAGCCAAGAGCATCTGGGAGGAGAGCATCGGGCCTATGAATGTTCTGGCTTTAGAGTTCTGAGCGGATGATGAGTCCTCAAGGTTTTAAAGCACATATCATGATTTCATGCATCTTGTCCAGAGGTTGTATTAAGCTTCAGTGATTTACTTTGCAGGTGCTTACCTAGGAAGAATGTGGCTTGTGCCTTAAATAAGTGAGATCACTGGTCTGGTTTTCCCATCAACAGTGAATGTCGCAGGACTCCGACAGAAGCGTTGTGCGTCCATCAGAGACCAGTAGGGCAGTGACAGAGCCACTCCAGCAAGGCTGATTAGAAAAGCTATAGGAAGTCAGGCTGGAGAAGGTGGAAAAGGTACAAGCATAGTAACATGCCTCTTGCTCTTTGCAGTTCCGCTTTAGTGGGGGAGGAGATGGTGGCTCCAAAGGACCTCTTGTGTCAGCACAGGAATCCCAAGCTCAGGCCATACTGCAACAGGCCAGGGTAAGTGAGAACACCTTTTTTCTCTAAAGCGCTTTTGGAAGAAAAGAAGAAATGAGGGAAATGCATCTAGGGGATGTGTCTCAATATTGGCCGCGATTTTGTGCCTGGCATGGTAATGTGACCCCTATGGGTTAGCATCTTTGCATGCTTTGGCCTATTAATAACATCTAGAGATGGGCAAACCACAAAACTATGGTTCAAAAGACCCTCCCTATACCTTTTGGACCAAATCCTCTGCTGATGTAAATAGCCATAATCCTCTAAGTTTCCGTGAAGTTCTGCTATTTACAAGGTTTGGTTCTTTGTGCTCAAAACCGCCAACAAAAATGTTGGGGGTAAATCACTCTCAATAAATAAACGAATGTATCAGAGATAAGTTGATTCTCAGCTCTGTGAATCTTTTCTGTATTGGTTCCTCCATTCAGTTAGTTATTAACTCTGCTGCGTATTGGCCCACAAGCCTTGAATTGTTCCTGAAATCCATCTCTATAAAAACTGACAAGAATTAAGAAGCATCCCAATAGCATTTCTAATCTGTGGTAAATTCTGCATACACGGTGTTTTAATGTAACGTATTCATTGGAAAGTATGTGATGAATATCCTTGCAGATATGTTTTTACATATATTTAATTCTGTGGATTGACAATTGTGGAAGAAAACATTATTCCCTTTTCCTGCCTCCACACTGTGAAAACTTCCTTGTCAATGTTTTGTAATTCAAGCTGTGTTGGTTGCTTCTGATCGGTCACACGAGTCCTGCAATATATCTGCCTCCTGATCGGATGAACATTCATACGCTGAAGGCCCAAATGTTGGGGAATTAAAACTTGGGTTCCAGCAAATAGAACACTGAAATTCACTTTTCACAAGCCTTTGTGTGAGAGAAAACTCGGTCACTTGCTTGTGTAAAGTGAAAACCCACTAGATCCAGTATGGCACAAGGAAGTCCATTTATGAATGGGAGAGGTTCTCCATGAACGTGTTCACGTGATTCGAATACGCATGGAATTAGATTGAGGCTTTAGACACCACCGGGAGAGGTTCTCCATGAATGTGCTCACGTGATTCAAATACACATGGAATTAGATTGAGGCTTTAGACACCACCAAGGAAGTCACCCACACAAGACTAGCCCAAGGATGTATTGTGCTCAGGGTAGGGACATGAACAGGTAATTGGTTAACTGGTTACCTTGTAAGCCTCACCCTTACCAGGCGATACTTACTGGGTACCAGTTAGCCGGTGACTGGGAGAAGTCTCCTGCCCATGGCCTGCTCAAGCAGAAGATTGCCCCAGTGTGGGGCGGGAACTCCTGCTGCCAGTGACAATGGCAG